CTGTATATGCTCTATAAGAAACCATAGGATAGAGGGAACCACTCACTGCCTGCGCTTTTCTAACGCCAGTTCCTTGAGCTCGTTGGCCTTGTTGAAGCCGCTCATGATAGTGCGCGGAAGGTTCCACAGGGCCAGTGGGATCTGGATGGGCAGGGTGTTCAGCAGCGAGGGCATCGGTATCTCGCTGAGGATGACGTCCATGTCGATGTTCTTGTTCTTCTTCTGCAGCTTCTTCAGCTTAGTGCCGAACACCTGCTCGGCGGTGTACTTCTTTTCGAGGTAGGCCGCCCAGGCGAACAGGTACTGGCCCACGGTGGTGATCAGGAAGAGGATGAAAGCGCCCTCGTACAGGCCTATCTTGCGCATTCGGCGGTAGTAGTAGAGGGCCGACTTCCAGTTGGGCATGCCCTCCTTCAGCACCCGGTCGTACTTCTCGCGTCGCGACGGATCCTTGAGCACCTCGTAAATGGAGACGAGGTTGCGGAACTGAATGTTGGCATCCTCGGCGGCGTTCTTGTCCGGGTGCAGGACAATGGAGAGGGTGCGAAAAGCGCGCTTCACCTCGGGGCCCGTGGCCGTCTGGTTGATGCCCATGAATTCGTAGAAGTTGCGATTCACCTCCTCCACCAGGTCGAAGATCTCGAGCTCCTCCGAGTGCCACGCGTGGGCGCCGCCAGTGGCGCCGAGCAGCAGACAGCAGGCCAGAACAATGGCCAGGGGGTCGAGTCGCATCATTGTGATCCGGGAGCAGAATCGGGCTGGGCTGAAATCCAAATCCAAATCCAAATCCAAATTCAATGCGGCAGACCCACGCACGCACCACACAAACACACACGCACACAGACACACGGACGGGGCTCAGCTGGCAAGTGGCAACGTCAGCAGCCGTCGGCCAGCGTTGCCACCTCTTGGGAGCTAGGTACCTAGCTAACAGTTACCTAGGGACGGATTTCAATATTTAGCCTGATACTCACCGCAATCACGAAATAGGCAACAAAACGAAAATTTCCATAAAAAATTATCCAAATTTTGTATACAGATTTTAATTTCGTTGCCTTTTTGATTGAGGTAAGTATCTGGTCTAACCGACAAATAGGATTGTAGGTTAAAATTTTAAACATTCATGGAAAACTAATAGTTTTTTTTTAAACTATGATACACGTGTATTACACAATCTCTACAGAAAGTATTTTCTATAGAAAGCTTTTCATATTATTACATTGACAAGAGCTTTCTATGATTCCTAGTTTAATTATTTCTTATTCAACAATAATGTAATTTTTATTTAATTTGTAATTTAAAAACGTTGAAATTATAGATTGCTTTATTTTTGGTCTACTCCATTTTTTAAAGCGCAGTGATTCGCTAGCTTTTCCCATGCGAAAGGCGTCCTCCCTAGGTACATCTATTTCAAAACGTCTTGTACCCAACCGAAACACACACCACTAGCAACGGTTATCGATACATTATGGTATATTTATGGTATATTTTCGGTATATTGGAATGGAAGCTGTATAAAAACACTCCTTTTTATAATTCCGCTGTCACACTGCGAGATTTCATTTCATTTTATATCAATTAGGGTTGTGGACCCTGGGATGTAGATAACCAAGTCATCTGATTTAAAATCAAAGAAAAGGAATTAAGCGACAATGCAGCTGCTCCGTTCGATCTGGCTGCTAAGCATCCTGCTCCTGGTGGCCGGCCAGCAGAGTCCGGCGGCTGGCCCCGCCTCCAAGGATCCTGCGGTGGCGGCCAATGCGGCGAATGCGACGCATTTGAACAGCACTTTGGTGACTCCAGGATCGAAGTCGGCACCGGGATCTCTAGGAGCTGCTGTAGGTGGTCCGGTCCAGACAAAGAATCCGGTTGTCCCTCAGCAGGACAAACCCGCCAACAATACGGCCGCGACGGAAAACGCAAGCAAGAAGAGGAATCGCACGGACACGGGCTTGCCCGCAGCTCCAATGGCCACTTCCAAGCCGGGGACAGGGGAGCAGAAGGTAACCAAGGTAAACGAGACAGCCAATTCCTCCTCCACCGCCACTACGTCCTCTTCTACTTCGACCACCACCACCACGGCCAAGCCAGCTGCAGGATCACCTATAGTCACTGATGGCCAGTCGATGCAGGATGTCACCAAGGTAGGCAAGTCGTCTAGCAATGGTCCCGCCATCCCCTCCAGCAGCAGCACCACGACAACCACCACAACCACAACAGCCACCACAACCACCACAACCACACCGAAGCCCAAGAAACCCAATGTGGCCGTGAGCACGGACGTGCACCAGGAGTGGGAGAAAGATGTAGAGCTGCACAAGACCCAGGAGAAGCCCGGTCCCGTCCAACCGCAGCCACCAGTCGGCACGCAGCCGGAGCCCGAGGTGCAGGGTCTGACTGGCAGTAGTCTGGCCGATCACGGGGACAACGGCTATGTGGTGCCCATTGTGACCGTGCTGCTGACTGTGCCGCTGGCCCTCGGCGTGGTGACCATAATGTACCGCCGCTTCCGCGACATGTGGAGCACCAGGCACTATCGTCGCATGGACTTCCTCGTGGACGGCATGTACAACGACTGACGAAGGCGCGGACGTCAGCCCGGCGGCAAGGGCGGGTGCCCCTCCTCCTCCGGCGCCCTTGGATGATGATTATTAGTTGTTTAAGTTGGATGTCCTTGCATCCAATGCAAGGTCTCCGGATCGAAAGGTAGAACGTGAGGAAAGAGGATGATGATGATGACACAAAACACGGATATTGCTCAGTCAATTAAAAAAAGAAAGGGATTCGCTTTGTAGCGCAAAATAGCTACTAGCTAGAAGACCCTTCCGAGCGGCCAAATTGAATTTAAACCAACTGATTTTCTTCGCTAAATTCGAGCGGTCTTTTACATTTAAGCATTTGGATTTATGTCAAGCATTTGTTACGAATCAAATTGATACCGACACTTATATATATATACCCAGTATATCCTATCTACTTAAGACTCTGTACACCAGATGCTGTATATTGGAGGCTGCGAATTAACCTCGACCATCATCAGCGCAATTAGCAATCACTCATTGAATCCACAATCTAGCCGTAATGTGCCTTACGAACCAGCTCTATATATATGATATACCTTTACACATGATATTCCCAATTTCCGAAGCTTACGAGATAAACTCTCCGCATTTACTTTACGCTACACAACACTCACTCAAAAAAAGCAGCAGAAACCAAAAAATCACAAGCAATCGGCCTGAAACAAGCAATTTTATTGCATTACGACATATATACACATTTATAGGTATATATACATATATTTCTTGTTGTTATCAAAGTAACAATTACAATAAAGCGAAAGGCAGTCAAATTGAATTTCTTGGGGAGTACTTATTATTATTTTTGAGTAGAATTTCTATAAAGCAGAAAAACTGCTGATTCTTCATATAATGTTTAACTCGTAATCTTTGCCAGCCAAGCAATTTGCGTCGATTTAATGAGAATTTGTTCTAGATTAGAATATTTCAACATCCGACGGCAATAGTTAAATCAAAAAATGTGTACTTCGTCTCATAGTCATGTAATTTCTTATAAAATGAAATATGAAATAAAATCATATATCTACCCATATTTTATTTTTTAGAAAAAGCATATATCTTCTTTAATCCTACAATTCCAATTCTTTTCTTTTTTAAATAGTCATTAGAAAAGAGAATTGTTCCCAGAACATGATACAGTAGACGACGAAACAGGTGTTATTATCAGCAGTATAAATATTTGTTCAAGATGTAATACATTCCAAGAAGCACTCCAGCTGCACTACAAGCCACATCGATTTCGGTAGAAAATTATTTAACAACACATTTTACGTAAACTAAAGGTTTTGGTTAATAGGCAACCATAAGCAAAGATCTGGTCAAAATTTGTGATATATATGATTTTATATTATATTTTTCAAAAAATTGGTAGGGATAGGACATTAAGATTTATTGTACATTTCCATTGGTTGTAATAAATCTTCTGGTTAACCCATTAATGTCACCATTTATGCTTTACGGGCCCAATCCCCGGAGACTGAGCCCCGTGGTGTTTTGAGAGCCCGAAGATCTGACCTTTGGCGATAATAGATCACCAGCGCCTGCTCCTCGCGTCTTGATTCAGACAAATGAGGAACGAGGAGTCTTTTCAGATGTAGATACACCTACACCCACCTCCCCACAGGCATCCCAATCTAAAAAACAAGAAACCCAAATAAACTGCCGAATGCTCTCAATGAAGTGGTTTATAAATGATCTCCATCTGCGAAGTTGTTCGAAGTTCGTTTCAATCATTTAAACAAAAAGAACTAAATTACCATCAAAGCGATGCGCGTGTCTGTGTGTTTGTAGGGAAATTTGGAAAAGCGGGAAAAGCGTTCGGCTCCGAAAATGTGTGAAATGAGCCGAACGATTACCACCGCCGTTGTTTTCACCTCCGTCTAGGGTACAGTTAATAATACCCATTAAATTAATGTATCCAGGGTATAATACATACAGAGGTCAAATGATACTAGTGTGTTTTTTAAACATCTATAACGAATAAGTCTAAAAATAGGAGTCAACAGGAGTAGTTAAAGATATTCTCAAATGTACATAATTGCCTAACCCTTTTGAAATTATCAAGTATAAAATGCATTGTACACGAATATATTCAGCTACATTAAATGTAGTCAACAAAAAATATTTGTGTAAAGCCCTAGATTGAAGTGTTTTCTAGCTAGATAAATGCGTTCTTAAAGTATTGGAATAGAGCAACTGAACTATTAGTATAATTGATATAAGGAATCGTTTTTAAAAAATGTATTCATCCTCACAGTTACTTAGAAATAGAGTTCATTAGTTTACATAGCATAATCACCATTAGTTTATGTTCTTGTGCGGCATGGTATGGTATTCCCCAGTCGAAACATCGAAGAATATGTAGAATAGTTTGATATTTCCTGTCTTTGGCTCTGCGTTTGGCGTTGTTGAATCTTGGCGTGCTCATTTGAAAACGTGCGCTGGACGCGTGCAGTTCTCGTTCGACCAGTTTCCTTTGGAATAGCCGTGAATTTGAAATCAGTTCGATTCAATCAGATCGGTGCCTCGATTCCTCGCGACTTTCCTCCTGCCAAAATGCATCCTGCCTCGCCGCACCAGCATCGCGCCCGCTTGAACGTCGGATCGCCGGGATCGGGTGGAATACAGGCCTCCTCCTCGACGGAGACCTTCCCGCTCACCCCGCAGCACGCGGTCCACATACCACCACCCACATCACTGCCCTATCAGGGACTCAAAACCTGTAAGACATCGAACCCAAAAAGGGGTTCGAAAATTATACCTTATTTGTTAACAGGATCTTTTATTTAGTCACAATCTGTTCTATTTGAATTAATTAATTTATTATTATTTAATTAATTTTCCACATTTAAAAGTAATTGGAATTTAATAGGGATATCTAACCATTTTTTAAATATTGACATTAAATTGAATATTTTTGAATATTTTAACTATAATGAAAACAAATTTTAAACTGACATTGGTTTTTAAAGTTTTCAGAAATTATAGTAAGCAAAATGTAAAAATGTTTTAGTTTCAGGTTACTACACTAAGGTGTACTTATAGACAAGATAATATCATGATTATAATCATATACAAAAACTATTTAAAAAAGCTATGAACATTTTTATTTAAATATATTTTTGGCCTGATTACAAAGTTAAGAGCCCAAAAAAAATCGCATATGCCCACACGTTTGTGGGCAAGACTTCCCTGATTTCTGGACCGGATTTCCAGATGCATATAACCAAATTATTCGCTTGGCGCTTTGTTTAGCTCATAAAAATACACGCACATTGACTGCCAGATACAAATAGTTTTTCACATTATACCACACACATGACCTCACAAAACTCTAGTGTTTCAGCAGCCCCGAGAATAATTCATAATTCATAATTCGGGCAAATGTGCGATTAATGCGATATAAAATCATAATCAACGCGCGAGGTGAGGCGACTCGGAGTCCCATGAATCATTTCATTGAGCAGAAAGATGAATCTGCGATGGTTCGGCACAATTTTTAGGATCGTATCGAGTCAGGGCCTATTGAATCGTATCGATCGTACCGACACCGACCACCTATGAAGTATGCAATATAAACTGTGCGCCGACATATAAAAATAAATAGAGATTATCGAACGCACCGGTACGTATCCGTGTTATAGATCGTATTGTCGAAACTCGTAGGATAAACAGAGCAGCGGAATACTCAACACCCAGCCATGGACGTAAACATGGCCACCTCTGGAAATAAATACATAGTTCCAGAGAGCCAAACAAAAAAGGGAAAACCAACAAAATCAGAGATCATATTCACGAGCACGAGCTCTGCAGCCATAAACAACAAGTTCCCATTCCCATTGCCATGTACATAGTTAGTCAAGCATAAAAAGTGCTCGGGCCAACCGATCCAAGGCAACTATTCGTGGATATTTATGGAATTTATGCCATTTGTACTAGATCAAAAGCAATTTGTACAAGTTAATTGCTCCAAAACAGAAGCGTGGAATATGCTGGCGATCACCGAAACCACTTTCCATCGTAAATAAATAAACAAAAGACTATTCGAAAAGGATAATAAAAGAAGTAGCTTATACAAATTATTATTAGGTCAGTGACTTGTTTACTTTTACCTATAGAAATTAATAGTAAACACTTTTTCAAATCGACCTTTTCAATTTAAACAGAAATATGTAGCAGTAAAATATGTTGTTATAGTAAAATAATTTCTTTCGGTTCAGGTTACCAGTTGATTAGTGGCCGACAGGTGTTATACAAAATGCACAGAGCTTTCCGCGAACACTTCAGCATATGTTTAGGGGATACCATTTGAAGTGTTCCTTATAAAACCTTCTAAACGTATTTCCTATCCAAATTCGATCTTTGCAATTAAAACGAAATTGGTAACTGTGACTGTAAAAAGCCCTCCATGAATTCTCCAGCCGTTGGTTAAACTGAAGTTTGTGGGATACCCTTTGAAATGTTCATAATCATATAACTTTCGAACGTTCTTTCTACAGCTGAAAATGATGACATGGGCTGCGTGGAGATACTGGCCACGGTGGTGTCCGTGCTGATCATGGTGCTCACCTTTCCCATTTCGGTGTTCATCTGCTTCAAGGTGGTGTCCGAATATGAGCGGGCGGTGATCTTTCGGATGGGCCGCCTGCGCAGCGGTGGAGCCCGCGGTCCCGGTGTTTTCTTCGTGCTGCCCTGCGTGGACGACTACTATCCGGTGGACCTGCGCACCGTTTCCTTCGATGTGCCGCCGCAGGAGGTACTCTCCAAGGACTCGGTCACGGTCACCGTGGACGCAGTGGTCTACTACCGCATCAGTGATCCCCTAAAGGCGGTCATCCAGGTGTACAACTACAGCCACTCGACCAGTCTCCTGGCGGCCACCACGCTCCGCAATGTACTCGGCACCAGGAATCTCTCCGAGCTGTTGACCGAACGGGAGACCATCTCGCACACCATGCAGATGTCCCTGGACGAGGCCACCGATCCCTGGGGCGTTAAGGTGGAGCGTGTGGAAATGTAAGTAGTCACTGGGTGGACACTCAGTCCAGCATCCGTTAACCATGATCCACTTTCAGCAAGGACGTCTCGTTGCCAACTGCCCTCCAGCGGGCGATGGCCGCTGAGGCGGAGGCGGCGAGGGAGGCGCGAGCGAAGGTGATTGCCGCTGAGGGAGAGATGAAGTCGTCCAGAGCCCTGCGCGAAGCCTCCGAGATCATCTCCGCCAGTCCGTCCGCCCTGCAGGTGAGTTGACGTTCACCTGGAACAGGGAATATAACTTCCTGTTTAAATCTTGTCTCTTTTAGCTGCGATACCTGCAAACCCTGAGCAGCATTTCCACCGAGAAGAACTCGACCATCATCTTTCCGCTGCCCATGGAGCTGCTCACGCCCTTCCTGAACACCCAGGCCTACTCGCAACAACAGCAACTGCAGCACCAGCAACATCAGCAGCAGCAACACCAGCAGCAGCAACACCAGCAACATCCTCCTGCTCCTGCCACACCGCTCCATCGGCACCAGCACCAGCACCACCAGTGACGCTCGATGTCGGTGCTGCAGCCATATCTGGAGGCACTGCATCGATGCGAGCTGCGGCGCCAGCAGGAGCAGCGCCGGAACGGAGGAGCTGCAGTGCGATCGGCGGATGACGATGACGACGACCTCGTTGGCTTCCTGCTGTAGTGGAACACGGCAGCAGCAGCGACACCCAGCGGAACTGGCCGGGAAATACCCGGGAAACGTGTTACCCAAGAATTCGAGCCGAATTCTTTTTAAAGATTTTGATATGTATTTCTTTTTGGACTTTAACTTGGAAGATCACCCTTGAATAATCCTTTCCAGTACAAAATATCTGCTGATAATCTTTATATTGATCTACGATGGTATTCCAAGATTCAGGGTATTCCAGGGTATTATATCATGTTTTTTTGTCGTTTACTGTTGTAAAACCATGATTCATCTTAGCAATAAGCCGAGACGTTAACTATAAAGTAACCAATATTAAACATTGTTTGTGTGGTATATTAAGACCCAAATTATGCCAAATACAAAAGAACACTATAAAAAAGTACCAATTTTTGGTCAAAAATCATGGATTTGGCAAAAGCTACCTAATAAAAAAATACAATAATATCTAAAACACAAAATCGTTTCTGGGTTTTCCCCATTTTCGATTTTTGAACCTTATCTAAATGACACCAATGCCTCCGATTTGCATACAACATTTACGAATTGAAGAGATAAGGGCTGAGGTCGCATGAGTCACTCGATTCAGTTGGTTGGACCAGGCTAACCTCTTGACTCGTGAGTAAAACCGCGTCTTTATACTCTGGCTGAGATTACAAATTGATTAAAAGTTGAATACTTTTAGCGCTGATAAGAAAAGCTTTCATTGATCGATGGACGGAGTAATCGCGTTTTCTTGCAGAGCAGAGTGATTCATCACCGGCCCACGCCACTCGATTTACAAAGCCGGTCTCAAGAGGGGGTTCTAGGTTTTTCCCCAGATTTAATTACACTGGAATGTAAAGTGTAGGTACTACTAAAATAATGAATATTACATCATATTAGCTTTACGATCACTGGATTAGCTTATTCCTAAGATGTGGTTTTTATAATGCAAAGTCGGGATTTCAAAAAAGATATTTTTGATATAAGAAAATAAATGATGATAGTTGGTTTCTTTACAGAAAAACAATATCTTCAATAATATAGTACCAATTTCGGTACTTGGTCATATTTCTTCACTAATTGGCACCCAATTTACTCCCGCTTTTGAACCGCTCGGAAGCTCAGTGTAGCGATAAAGCCAATGCGATATTTCCCATTCGAGAGAACTGCGCGCTCTTCTTATCAATGGGAATGCTTTTGGGCACTCCGATTGGTTTTGCGGCGGTTCCCGCGACAGTTTCGAGTGCATAGCCAACCGGAGAGGAACGAAGAACATCCAATGATGGAGCCGAAACAGGATTCGCCCGTCTACGCCAACTACGAGGACATGCGAAACTCCGGTCCTACGAGCTCTACGGCCTACATGGTCAACATGGGCCCCGGTGAACTGGCTCCCGAGGACCCGGCTCGGACTCCCGGGCCCACTCAGCAGTACCGCGGCTTTAAGACATGTAAGTTGTGCTTTTTAGAGGAACTGAAAAAAAACAGCTACACTGTTCTTAATCCAAACTATCATATAATATAAAAAGTTGGACACTATGTACTGTAAAACATTAACCACTTCAGATCTATAGCTCTTTAACTTCCTGGAACCGCTGTTTTAGATAAGATTACGATTTAAAATTGATCGCGTGTGAAATTGCATCCCAGAAAATTTGAGCCTTGCAAAATCGTAAACCAATAACCCTGAACAGTCTTATCGGGCGATTCTGTAAATGCCGAATCGTAATCAACACCCCAAATACAACCACACAATTATTCTCAAGTGGAGTTGATAGGGGATCTAAAACTATAAACACGTTGGACGATATTCTCGGAGTAGATAGTTGTTGGGAATTTGTTCTGTTTACGGAGTATTGTATATCATTATCCCACTTAATCCTCATTAATTCCTAAGACGTCCTAGTTTGTAGCTTTTGTTGATGCATATCTCACATCGACCAAAGCAATTGTAATAGTATTTCTAATCAAAAGAATTTTTATTGATTTGTAGATAAGAAATTGCCTATTGGTGATTGCCGTTTATCCAGTCCTTTTTTATTTAATTGATATATGTTTTCTTTGTTTGCGGATATCTTTATACATTTGTATGGCTATTGCTTTTTTAAAGAATGTTATAAAAAAGTCCCCGTATTTCTCAATGAAATGAAGATAAGTTTACTGAAGTAGGTGGTGACTTCCCGGAAATTTGAAATTACAATAAGAAAGTACTCGAAGAATCGTGAGCTTCCACTTAGAAATAGAAAACAGCCGTATCTACGTTCTCCTTTTGGAATATTTTAAAAATAAAATAAAATAAAAATAAAAGATGCAATAATGGTCAGCCGCCTGCCACTAATGTCTCCAGATCCAAAAAATAATCTTTCACTACACTTTTGTTTTGCAGCGGAGAACGAGCCGAAGGGCTTCATGGAGTGGGTGGTGACCTTCTTCTCTGTGCTGATCTTCATCATCACCTCGCCCATCGCCATCTTTATCTGCTTCAAGGTGGTGGCGGAGTACGAGCGGGCGATCATCTTCCGCCTGGGCAGGCTGAGCGGCGGGGCGCGTGGTCCGGGCATGTTCTTCATCTTGCCGTGCATCGACGAGTACCGCAAGGTGGACCTGCGGACGGTTACCTTCAATGTGCCGCAGCAGGAGATGCTGACGAAGGACTCGGTGACGGTCACCGTGGATGCGGTGGTCTACTATCGGATCAGCGATCCCCTGTACGCAGTGGTGCAGGTGGAGGACTACAGCTTGTCCACCCGCCTGCTGGCTGCCACCACGCTGCGGAACATCGTCGGCACCCGCAATCTCTCTGAGCTGCTCACCGAGCGCGAGATCCTGGCCCACACCATGCAGTCCACCCTGGATGAGGCCACCGAGCCGTGGGGCGTCATGGTGGAGCGCGTGGAGATGTAAGCTTAGAGCATTGCTAATCCTTGTTTATTTCTGATCCTGATCCTGATCGATTACTTGCAGCAAGGACGTCTCCCTGCCCGTTTCCATGCAGCGTGCCATGGCCGCCGAGGCAGAGGCCGCCCGCGATGCTCGTGCCAAGGTGATTGCAGCCGAGGGCGAGAAGAAGTCCGCCACGGCCCTCAAGGAGGCCTCCGATGTCATCTCCTCGAGCCCCTCAGCGCTGCAGGTGAGTGTTGACCTCGCCCACCTCCTCTAGAGCACCGATCACCATCCGAACTCTCTCCCACAGCTGCGCTACCTGCAGACCCTGAGCAGCATCTCGGCGGAGAAGAACTCCACGATCATCTTCCCCTTGCCCATGGAGCTGCTGACCCCGTACCTGGCCAAGTACGCCCACTTGATGGGGCCGCCACCGCAGCCTCCGCAAGAGCAGGAGAAGTCCGACAACCTGCTGTTGAATGCCCAGGCCGCTTGGCCCAAGACAAACCTATGATATAACCGAAACGTATTGCGCAGAGATTGCAAATCTTGAGTATTTCTCCTTTTTTCGCAAAGGAAAACTGAATTAGAAAGTTATAAAATAACTGATATGGTTTATATTTGATTATTCAATTAAATTCTATATGACATTTCGGAAAATCATCCATTTGTAGGACATTCCTTTAAAATTTAACTGAAATTAGTCAGGATATGAGATTTTTCTAATTTAATTGATAAAAGCTTTTCTTTCTTACTTGTATTTTGTATTAACAAAATTGAAAGTAACACTTATTTTGTAATTTTAATCAAAAGATCAAAAATATTTTTCTTCGTGATCACGATACACAAGGTTCCCAAATGAGGTTATCCAATTTTATAAATAACCAATAATTAATTTTAAAGATGATTTCATTGAATTCAACTTAAATAAGGGTTGCAATAAACCCACAACCAGATAATAAATAAAACTTGGTTAAACAAACTAAAATCACGGTGTTATTATTTTCTAAATATCAAAAATAACGAAAGACACTTACAAGTTTCCTTGTCATTTACAACAAATATACGTGGGCCGGATCCACGGCCAAGGAATGGATGGCAATTTGGGCCATGGTCCTCTGGAAATTGGAGTCTCCGGCCACGATGAGCACGCGCTGTCCGGGTATGGAGGGATTGGCGTGGGTGGCCAGTCCGGAGGCGTCCAAGCGGGACATCTTGGCCGTCTCTCTGTAGCGCAGACTCCGCCGGAGATTTGGGCACTCCTGATCGCAGTGTCCCGCCTCCTGGCAAGCGGCAGATTCGCACTGCTGATGGGGCAGGTAGAGGCAGCTCCTGTAGTTCCAGAAGTGGGCGAACTCAAGCAGCTCCTCGCGGAAGTAGACGTGCTGCAGGTCGCGGGCGCACACCAGGTGCCACAGGCGACTCATATCCTCCTCGTTCTCTAGCACCTGCCGGACCAGCGGCAAAGTGGGTGCAATGGCCACACCCTGGGCGAGAATATAGATGCACTTGGCCTCTCTTGGGTCATGTAGGTATTGCCCGATCGGTCCGCGGAACTCCAGCAGATCGTTGGGCCGCACGACAGCGAGGTGGCGGGACATGGGCCCTCCCCGCTGCAGCTTCACCAGAATACGGAACTCCTTGGCCAGGAAGTCACTCCAGTAGGGCGAATAGGGACGCAGCAGGGAGCCCACGCGCATCATTACATGGTGTCCGGGTGGAATGTCAAGCACCGTGTCCTCCGTTCCCGTCTCCGCTTCCACCTTCTCCTCCTCCTCGGCTGCGTGGCCAAAGTGCAGGAGCAGCACCTGGCCACCCAGCGAGTCCCGCCGCAACAGCCGGAATTTTGTGTAGCTCAGGATCACATTGCGTTTGCCGGCCAGCAGGACCCGATTGCTCGGGCGGGGCTTGTTGTCCAGGATGCAGTGGGTGCAGCCATTGCCGCAGCAGTCGGAGTCCTGCAGCAGCTCCTCCTGCGCCTCAGCATCCTGCGAATCCGTATAGTTTTTTGTCAATTCCATGAAGCCACCAATTTTGGCGGTATTTTAGTTGGTACTAAAAATAGTATTTAAATACTGCCTATCGATATATCTACCATCTCCAATACCTTGGTTTTTTTTAGTTTCGAAAAAAAGTGTCTGGTCAATAGTGTGTAAATAAAACAAAGAGAAGGGAATAAATAAAGAGGGTCAGCTTAGATCGACACCAGGCACCGAGTACTAACTGCCCCTCATCCCACAACCAGCAGCACCGCCCCGCTCCCGCGGAGATCGGACGCAGTGCGGCGAGAGCCCACAAGCAGAGCAACTAGTGTCCAGTTACCAGGTGTCCCGTGTCCCGTTGTCCAGTAACCAAGTGTCCACATCTCTATGGTGTCGCCAGCAACATGAACCTGGAATCCCTGTTCCGCGACTTCAATCCCTGGTGAGAAGTCCCCGACTGCGGACGTGCCCGGAGCGAGGCGGAGGAAATCCAGTCTCTAATCGGCCATGTTCTCTTGCAGCAAATTCATCGTGCACTGCAGCCTGTTCACCTTTGTCACGCTCTTCGCCTTGCGCCTGGACAACTTCATAGGTTGGTACTGCTTCTCTGTAGAATCTGAGGCCACTACACCAGCTCCATTCATCTCTCATCCCGAAAATAACAACGGGGTTTAGCAAATTCTCCAGCTTGGGGCCTTGTGAACTACCTTCTGCAAAAGGAGTTATTCTCATCCACGCACTACGGACATATATTATCCTCTCAACACATGGGTAACAAAGAGATCTAGAGGGATCCTCGAGTTAGCCAGTTATATGATAGTTGTCTAGTTATGTATAGGATGGGAGGTACTACATGATAGTATGTCCAAGAGATAATCTTATATTCGCTACTAAATTCTTCCTGATAGAAAGCTCTATTACTATATTCTTGAAACGTGACGGATTAATTTTTGCCATTTCAACAGCTAGGGAAATCTATCTTATGTTTATCCCAAACCGTGGAATAAGTTATCCCAAACTAGAAGAGCCAGTTCATTTTGTATAGTTGTTTAATCGAATGCCCTTTCACAGACTGGCCCTACTGGGCGATCTTCACACCGCTGTGGATATGGAAGTGCACCGCCATCCTGGGCGCCATCGTGGGCGCCATCGTTTGGTGCCGGTATCCCCACTACCGCCTCGAGGGCGACGCCTACACGCAGTTCAAGGCGATGCTCATCTCGCTAGCCCTTCACCTGATCCTCCTGATGTTCGAGCTGCTGGCCTGCGATAAGCTGACCTCGGACCGCCACCTGTGGGTGCTGGTCTTCATCCCGCTGATCTTCGGCTCGGTGGTGAGCGTGGGCGCCTGCGTTTGGGCCGTGAAGCACGATCGCTCCTTCGAGCTGGAGCTCTTCCTGGCAGTCAATGCGCTGCAGTTTGTCTCGCTGCCGCTGAAGCTGGATCGCTTTGTCTACTGGAACTGGGACGTGGTGTTCGTGCCAATGTGGATTGTTATATGCCTGAGCTTGGTCAGCGTGCTGTACAACATCATCTTCTGTGGCATCATGATGCGCACGCCGGAGGTCTCGCTGCAGCAGAAGAAGGCGGCATTGAACGCGGCGGTGGGAAACATTTGCACGGTGCTGCCACTGCTCTGCTTTCAGGTGAGGGCCCACGTTAAATCCGGTAAGGAAACGAGCCATACTAACCATACCATCCATTCCGCCAGGTCGTCATCTGTGACAAGCTCGACGGCGAGCTTAAGTTCCCGTACATCGTGGTCTTCTCGCCCCTGCTCGTCTCTATTCTGGCGCTAATCATCCTCAGCTTCACGGCCAAGGGCGGCAACATGTGGTGGTTCGGCATCCGCAAGTCCTTCAGCCAGTTTCTGTTGTCCGCGATGCCGTTCCTGCAGGAGTACGGCAACATCAGCTACCACCCGGAAACGCATAGCAATGCCGGGCAGTCCATGCCGCTGGATGCCACCTCCTCGTCGACGAGTATGGCGGCCAGCGAGCAGCTACACGAATTTGGCAAGCACGACAAGAAGAGCAAGAAGGGGGCCAAGAACGACATCCTCAAGCCGGTGGTGCCTTTCGTCAGCATCGACCTGCCGGACTAGATATATATACACATGTATAGGCGACCAGCACTGCACAGGAACAACAGCAACAGTAACAGCAACAATAAATAGCAAGAACCACGTAGCCCTAAGGACAGCCTCTCAGCACGCGCACACGGAGACGGCGACGCCGCACACCTTTGTTCAGGTGTTCATATATATTATACATAAGCATTGCATACCCAAACAGACTCACACATCGGCCGTAGCTTTTAGACTCGTACTGAATTTTAATTGTAAGACAAATGCTAACACCCCATGCCGCCCCCAGCCACGCCTATCGTCCCCTCGCATCCGCCTGCATATAATAGCCGCACATATATAGAGGCCCTGACCACACAGGTTGCTGTGCCCAACCCAGACCCAAATCGACCATCACCTTGACCACCACTCTCTTTTCCAAACTGAACCAGACCACACCATACAACACTTGACTCTCGGCCTTATATATGTGCTAATATATGTTACATCCCTCACACTTTCAGAAACCACTTATGTGTAATGCCGTACGATAGTGTAAATAATTTACAAAACTACAAGAAAACAAGAAATATACTTAAGTGCTTCCAACACAAAATGGAATTGCGATTACGACTTCTATTTAAGGGTCGGATTGGAAAAACCGAGATCTGGCCTATAATCAGAGATGATATATACATATTTTGGATAAAGTTTCACAAGTAAAGTAATACTATATACATATCTGAACGAATTCTTGTAAGTTGTATTAATCTTTATTCAAATTAGGAAGCTACAAAGTTTACATATTTCATAGTTAATTTGTTTTTGTTTTTTTTTTTTAAATTAATTCTCTTACGTTGTGTCGCCTAAAATTGTATGCAAAGGTAAAAAGTTGCATTTTAAAAAGTGGTCATCCCAGAGCCGCTGCTTTTTGCCGGATAAATCAATTAGGAAGTGGCCGATGAGAGAAATACGTATATAAAGCGCATCAATATAGGTTATATAGGTATATATCCACTCTCCTCGGATCGCATGGAAGTACATATCCTCAGGGGGCGAAAGAGAGAGGCACATAAGTGGAAAATCGAATCGGAGCGGGACAAGGCTAGTTGGATAAGGGTAGGCGATATAGTGGGAGCAAGCTGAACCCAGGGCCTGCAAACATCAACAATAATTCAAATATATATTTGCTCGATCGCAAGGTGCAACTGGCAACTCAACTATTGCATAACATATCGCTTTAGTGGGCGTGGGCTTGAGTACATATATCATTTCAAGTGAGTATCCGTACAAATATCAATTTTGTGTGAGATTTAACAATTGTTTCATTCGTTTAGCTACAATGTTCGGTTGTCGGGAAATACAGGTTGTTCACTTTAATCGCCGATTCCCCGCAAATACAATGCATAATCGTTATAATAATAATGGTGGTAATAATATTACTTATGGTATAAGAGCTTCCGCTTGACTCTGGTGTGTGTATAGTACAAAGTTAAATAAGTAATATCAATTTAAACTCTCTTCGACTTAGGCTAAATACTCTTGTGGAGAAAAAAATAGCTACGCGTCTCCGTTACTGCAAAATATATATATTGACCCTAATCTGGTTCACAATTCGGTTACCTATGGGCCTATGGTTTTCACCCGATCGCTCAGCAAATACTGTGGTTTCTGCCTATCATATTTCTCAGGTTTTCAAATTTCGCTATTAAAGTTGGCTAAGAACAATTGTTTATTCGCTACATTTATTTATTCTGACCTCGTACAATTCAGATTTTCCGATCTTACGAACAGTGACGGGAAAGGTACAGCTTTTTTTAACTAGGCAGGTTTCGGGATTAAAATCAGAGTAGATGGAGATCTATACCTTTTTAAATTTCTGACTTGATTCAGTTTCTCAGACTTTCATCCCTGGCGGGAGCTCTTTGGTTCCGAATGTTAAATAATTACACATTTTAGAAATACAAATTTTGAACCTATGGGCTAGGCTAAACACTGAATAAGATGTACTACCTAGATACTTCCCATCACTGCTCTGAATCTGTTGTTCGTTGCCCGTAATGTCGCAGCTTAATGGCTATTGTCTGAATTCTGTTTCAATGGTTTTTCTGATTCTATTTGTTTCGGGGAAGGCCAATAGGGCCCCAATAGCTCCCCAAGGAGGAGGCTATATCCCGCTGTATAAACGATATGTACTAAGTGGTAAGTAATACGACTTCTATTTAATTACTGCCTAAGAAATGAAACGCTGACGCTGGTCGCCCCTTGTTGGCTCCTTTGGGTTAGATTCGAAATTGACATGAGATCTGGCGAGCTGCAATCCATTAGGCATACACAATAATTACAATATTGTTGGTTGGTTTTGTTTTGTTTTGGGTGCACTTAATTCTTAGGTAACTTATTTCACGTATTTAGAATGTGTACATAGAACGGTATGCCCTCTGATCGGGCAATTTCTTTACATACTTTGTATATTTAATAATTATATTAATCGTGGAACTATGGAACATTTCGCTTTCGTTTCGGATTTCATTTCCCTAATTCTGGTTTTGGTTTTGGTTTTGGGCTTGTTACGTTGGTGTGATAAAGAGAATCGAAGAAAAAAGAAGATTGCTAATAGTTGTTGATCGGTATGGAAGCGCTTAGTTTTAAAGTTGAAGAAGTTCGTTAATTGTACGTTTCGTATGGGAATTAGACACACTATACACTGGAGAAGAGTGGCATGCAGGTGGGGTCTAGTCAGGAGTCGGGGGTCCAATCTAGTCCACTTTCGGCCTGCTGCTCAAGTACTGGGCGAGGTTTTCGCGTGGTCCTTGCACGATCATAATGAACTGCGAGGGGAAGTCCCAGATGATGGTGAAGTGGAACAGCATGTTGGCGATGGCGATCAAGTACTCGAAGAACGCGAACCAACTAAAGGCTATAAAGATAGTAAAGAAAATAGTAAGTTAACAAGCAAATATTAAAGGACATCACTTTGATTTTTTTTTAATATCTTAATTACATTTTCAGATTATTATGATGTTATAGAAAACTTAAGTGGGTATTTTATATGTTTAAAATAAGATGATAAAGTCATTGTGTTTTGAATCCTATTTCATATAAATATAGGAGATGTGATACATATCAAGTTAATACTTGATATCCAAACTAAGTTTTCAGATTAAATTAATACCTATGATACTTTTATACGTTTAAAATCTTTCTTTATGTTTTAAATCTTATTTTATGTAAGAATAGGAGATATGGTGAACATCAAGTCAGATTAGAGTGAGATTTTTAGATGTAAAAATTTTAATTGCTGAATGTAAAAATGATATGAGAGTAGATAAGGATGATGTTAGGAATGTTCAAAATAATATGATAATTTGTATTTATCTATAAACTGATGATTATGGTTAGGGTCTCACCCAAGTCGTGACAGTAGAAGCGGTGTTTGGCGAAGAACACCAGCAATCCGATGGTGCTCAGGATGGAGACGGCGAAGAGGATCTTCTTCCACTTGATGGACAGGCGCTGCTGCTCGGTCAGCGATTGTCCGGCGTTGAGGATGCCGTTCAGCTTGATCGTGGCCAGCATGTAGCACAGCGAACATACCATGAACGTGATAAAGATGCGCTCGTGAACGGCTACAACAAAGAAACGAATGGGTATGAGTTAGGACATCCAGAGGAATAAGAGAAGTCTTCGACATACGATAGTTCTCTCGATTAGATATATAAGTGACGCCGCCCAGGGACGCGATCTCGATGCAGTTCAGCACCAGGATCAGCGTGATGAGCGCGCTGGTCTGAGGCAGCTGTGCGGGACTGATCCGACGCAGCTGCGAGCGGTAGTAGTTCTTGTAGACGAAGGCGATGGGGATGCGCGGTCCGATGTGGAGCGCGATGCTAAAGCGCCAGAAGTAGCGCTGCGGGCTGACTCCGGTAATTGCACTTATCGAGGGTATTATGTTGTAGACCTGGCAGGGAAAAACAGCGTTACTAAAATGTACCTTTAAGATAAACTAACTCAATCATAACATGACTAAAGTAAAATGCAATTTCAAATATAGTTCATAAAAATATTTTACATTAAACGTATTGAAATTGCATACGTATTTCAAGCTAAAAAATATTTAGTATGGGTGAAAAATTATGTCAAGGTTTAAAACAAATTAGTCATTGCTTAAGTAAAATAAAAACACTTGAAATATATCTGCGGTCAAAATATAACTTGAAAAAATAATAATCTTAATTTTATAGCGGTGGCGACTGTGTTTACGACATTAATCATTTTGAGCGATGTTTTGTGTTTTGTGAGCGAATCGTTTAGAAAAGTGAATTTGCGTGTCTCCTATCTCGCACGGAGTCCCGCGAGGATGACAGTGATTTGTTGGCCACGGGATTAGCTGCGATTGGAGCAGTTAGCCGCGCCCCGCCCTGGACATGTCCCCATCCCCATCCCGATCCCCAGGAGCCCTTCAACTCACGCGGCAATGTGTCTCGTGTACATCGTCGTACTGGAAGACGTAGGCGGTCACGAAGCACGTAAAGAGCGTCACCAGGGGCAGCAGGGCGGTTACCACGCAGAGCTCGTGGAAGCTGGCCAGGTAGTGGATGGCCACCTGTTCCCTCGGCTCCCTCGAGTCCTCCTGCTTGGAGCTAATCGTTGTGCTGGTCTGTAAGTAGATCAGGACATTAAGATCGAGTTGCTATGGTGCGAGGCTAAGGGAAAATCCACTGTGCAACATTTTTGAAATATTTGAATTTGTTTTGAAGACTTATTTACTTAGGTATGGAAAGATATAATATTAAATTCGAAGTAAAAGAGATTTAAGAATTTATTTAAGGTTGACGAAATTTTAAGCTTTTTGTAGTGATCCCACAAGGTAAAATATGACTAAGATATCTTTGAATTGCACTAAGGATTTTGAGTTTATACATATAGAAAATAATAAATATACGTTAGAGTTTTGGGTAAACTAGATAACTTCCTCAGAACTACATTGGTTTTACCTCTTAAATGAAAGGATGCGAAGAAGGAATGGTAGCCCTGTTTTCGATTTGGTTAATGCACAACAACGAAAAAGCGCTAAAAATAAAGGAAAAATAACAAAACCAGAAGAGGTGTGAATAAATCAATAAACAAAAGACAAATAATGAGGCGCAGCAAATGGAGGCGGAAACTATGCGATATGCGAATACGCCAACCTAGTGAAAGGCTGAATAATGGATGAGGTCCGCATGGCATCCCAAATTGGATGAGCCGGAGTTATAAATAAACAAGTCCTTGAAAGGGATAGGATAGGATAGGGTACGGCATGGTGTGTTTATGGTTTGGCTGTGGATATGGGTATGGTATGATATCTAGGGGGTGGCAAGGCCACTCGCTCTCTGGTGAAAGGCTCTCTCCGGTTCTGTTGTGCCGCTCCGGAGCAGCAAAGGATTAAGGGCCAAAAATAGACGAGCTGCCCCTGACGTAACCATTACCAATCTACCAGCCAGCCAGCAGCTGGCCAAAATTAATTAGCACAAAATTAATGGGAAATTGGTCGGGCGTCGGGAATGACATTAAATATGTGCTGCGATTAAATCAGGACACCGGAAGCAAGAAAGATGCCGGGAAACTGGTACAAGCGCGGGGGCGATTCCACGATTTCACAAGGACATGGCGAAATCGAATAAATGATTAAAACGAGAATGAGCACGAGAACGAGAACAAGAACAAGAACCAAACAAACAAGCGCCGCAAAGTAAATAAACGCATTTCGAAAATTAGGCAAGCAAGAGAGAAAAACAAAATAATTGTGGAAATGTGGAAAACAGCGTGATACGTTAAGAAATGTGCACGGAAAATATTTTCCAAGATCTAAGTATGTTCGAAAAATTCCAGAATTTATTCACGGTTTTTTTAAAACATCAATTATAGTTTAAAAGTTTATTTGTTTTGATTTTACTTTAATTTGCTATAATATTAACAATAGCAATTTGCAATATGTTATATGTATTTCAACTCAAAACTACAATTCTATGATTAATTTATTATGATATTACAAGATTTAAAGTGGTATTAAGACTTAGATCTTTTTGCCTTTAACACATTTTTTAGGAAATAGTTATTTTTTTTAAATTAAATTTGTTTCTTTGCTTTACCAAATATAAGATGTTTTCAAAATGAAAGTTAAACTTTTAAATTTGCTTGGAATCCAGAAGCTTTTTAGGAAAGTATGAACATTTTTGAAGTTCGAAATTCACATAATCCTGGGGGATTGGTTAAAATATATATATTTGGACCGATTTGAAAAATATTTTCGGTGTGGAAAAGTGTAGGGGAGGGCAGTCCAGGGGGTGGCATGCGCGGTTGCTGCGGAAAATTACAACAAACAAGCCGAGGACCATGGAAAATAAAACGGGCGCACACACACAAACACCCCCGCACGGTTTGTATGTGCAGTGGCGGGGGGTTTAATGGGTGATGGGTGAGCGGGGGTTTGGGAGGTCACTAAGCGTGCGCTACCTCCGCTTAAAGTTATATAATATTTGGCCAGGCCAAACAAACCATAAATACACACACACACACAGGAAAAAAAATAAGGAAATTCGATTGTTATTTCCCTGGAAAAACACGAAAGCGAATCTCACCGCTGCTGCTGGGTCGCCGGATCCGGATTCGCCGGAGGAGCAGCTGTTCCCGCCGCCTCCGCCGCCGTCGCCAGCGGACCTGGTCGCCAGGTCCGTCGCCCCCTTCCCGCTATCTGCCGCCGAAGACGTTGCCTCTCCTGTGCCCTGCTGCATTTTCTGATCGGTTATCGGCGCTGCTGACGTTGCTGCTGCTGCTACTGCTCGTGCTCCCGTCGATGATGCTATTTGGCATAATTTGCATGCCCCAACGCTGCCGTCGCCGAGTTGTGACCGCGCGCGCGCCTCTCTCGCAACTGCTACGGCTGCTCCACCTCGGAGCGCTTTTCCCCATCCATTTCGACGCCTGCATCCACTCCTCTGCCTTCCAGCTGGGCCTGGTCCCACTGGCCACCCCGTTGGCAGGGTCACATTGCCAATTTACCGTTAGCTTTTCTGCTCAACACGTTGGCAGGGTCACACTGGCCATAGTACCGTTATTTGTGGCGGGAAACTATTTCAAATTCAACCGAACGCTATAAACAAAAGAGTTTTGTGTTAAACAAGTTTTTTAAACGTTAATTCTTAAATTGAGCTAGGCTTGTTACAGACTATGTTCCAATAATTCTGCTACCCTTAGGGAAGGAATGTTACTTTATATGAAAAAAATAAATTGCTCTATGACAGTATATGTTTTACAAATAACACATATGTACATAAGTCAATATGAACCATTCGTGCACAAAAACAGAGTCTCTTGAATAACTTTATAGTTTTAAAACGTTTTTCAGCTTTTATTTTTTTAAATGTTTTAACATTTTGCTTTTCCTTTTTTTTATCAATACAGGCAATATGTTAAATTAAAATTTATTTTCATGTATTTTTCTTTACTTTATATAACTTATATATTGAACTGCAAAAATTAAATATATAACATTATGTACCTCAAGCTGATCGATTTTGTTTATTCCAGAGATTTTATGAAATTCCTAAAACCAAATTTGATTATATTTACCAAGATTTTACTATATGCCACTATTGGTTTAATTAAATTTGGCCAAATTTGTTATTACAAATACGGGATTGAAAACTTCTTATAAATATTTAGATTACGGTAATATCGCGACATAATATTTTGAAAAGAGAAAATATGTTTATACATTCTAAAAGATTTCTGGTATTCCGAAAGTACTAATAATTTTAGCCGGTTTACTAAAATTCGAAAGACAAAGATCATATTTAAAATACTACCAAGCTTCGTATAAATTTCCGAATATTTTAAATAGATCGAAATAGAAAGTAAGAAAATATTTTATATGCAGTTTTACCATAAAGTGGATGTGATCAATTTGTAACTGTGTAAATTTAAATTTAGGTATTTTTAGTTGTGCTCAAAACGAAATATACATAGATAAAAAATTGGAAGTTGTAAACACTTCCAAAATCAAAAAAAAATATTCCGCGATTAATATATCATTCTTCGCATTCCGTTTATAGCGCTTTATTGAAAAACTAGTTTCTGTTACATTCAGATGCCTCTACTTCCTTGTTGCATCAGAGTGTTAGGTGTTACATTTAGTAGTAGTTTGTTGATGGATTCGTGTGTACAATCGAACCACAAAGGATCGATATTGTATTTTGTATACAAAGGTAAAATGAGATGAGTACAAGTTTATACGCATGCATGCTTCTGCCAGGTCGATCGAAGCACCTATGCGATTTCTTGCTTGGAAAGTTTATGTTAGATTTCTAATAAATAAATTAAGAAGTTGAATATCCACTCCGTGCTAAACTAGAACTAGTGGCTGTGCGGTGCATTGGGCACAGCTTTGGATGACCGATATGATCGCATTAGTTCCACAACTCTCCGGCGACTATTTCGAGTACCATCTTCTTGCGGAAATACTCCATTTCCGCCTGCGAGAAGGTAATCGGCGCATCACGCGATATATACTCGGCAAACATGCAGCTGAAGACGCCGCAATCACTTCCATTCAATTGTTGGGGCACATTCGGTACGTTCTCGATCACAAAGACGCTGGTGTCGAACGGCTGCTTGCGCTTATCCAGGGATTCCTCGCGCAGATAGGCCTCCAAGGCGTTCAGCACGGCTTGGTTCGGCGCGCCCATAGAATCATAGTAGCGAATGGTTTTGTTTCGCAAGTGGATGATGGCCATGCACCAGTGGACGCCGTTGCAGTGCACCGGCACTGGGATCACGTCCTTTGAGAATATGTCTACTTTACGGGTCCAGCGCTTTACGCCCGCATGGCCAGCCTGCAGGAGGCGTGGCACGAAGAACGTGTTCATGGCATACACGTTGGGAAGTTCTGCCTTCGCCGAGCGATCAGTCAGCAAGCACATGTAAAAGTTGATGATCTCGTCGTTTAACCACTCCGTACCTTTGAGCGAAAGTATATCGCGGCGGTGAATGTGCATGTTGAACTTGACAACAAGGACCTGGGAGTTAAAAGAAAAATGGGCTTTAATAAGAAACCCAATGCATCAATGGACAATTTGCTTACCTCGTCCTCTGGACCACCATACATCAACTGCTCATAGCGCCTCAAGTGCTCCGGAGTAAGAGGGATGAGCCTTGTCTCTTTCTTCTGAACCGGTGTGTCCCGGGCCCCGATGACAAAGATCGGCTTGTGGGGGATACGGTACTGGAATATGTTCTCCCGCAGTTTATACTCGTAGGCACGTCGTTCTTCAGTGCTGCGATTGGCCCTTTAATTTTGCATAACAAGTTTGTAAATGGGTCCTGACGATTGGACATTGAAAACTTACTCCTCAACTGCCAACTCGCGACGGTGCTCGGACTCCTCACGCATGCGAGCCGCCTTTGCTTTAAACTGCTCCACAAAGTCATCTTTGAGGTAGATGCAGCTTGCAAAGCGACGATGCAGGGCATCGGTCATGGAGAGTCTGGTGGTCTTGGCGCGGAGCGATTTTACAGAGCCACTGGAGAATGATAAAAAATTGTTTAATTTTATTCTTTGTTTTATGTGAAATTTGCTCACATGTGATTGGAGTGTTTGTGTTTCTTTTCACGCGAGCTGTCATCAATGGCAGTAACTGAGGAATTAGAGCCACTACTGGAGTGCTCGCTGCCGCTCTCGTTGCTACCGTCGCTGCTGGAAATGGTGGACGCATGGCTGCCGGCGACATTGGTAGAGCTATCTATGCGCATTAGCTGCGGTGGAGCTGGTACTGGGCCATGTTGTGCCGCCCCGCTGTTGATCAATCTGGCGTACTCCGACACACTGTTCTGGCGCCCTAAAGACGAGGGCTGCAGCAGCGGCTGCGGCTGCTGCAATGGGCGAGATTGGTTGCCCCGCAGCAGGGAACTCCAGCTCGGCTGCTGTGTGTTAATGCGCTGCAGCGGTGGGGCAACTGGCTTGGCGAAGCGGCTGACCACGGAATCATTGGTCACGGTGTGGATGAGGTTCAGATATTGTTCGTGCTCCGAGCGTTCCATCTCGTGGGTCAGGATGCTCCTCTCCACCTGAGTTGGTACCCGGCGGACCGGGTGGGCGGAGTGGCCGTTGACACGGGCTTCGGCGAAACCATTTTGACCCAGACGCACGGCATCCGAGTAAAGCATTTGCGGCTGCCTGGCTGATGTACCGGCGGCATTGGCAAAGCCCCTCGGCTGGGACGGCTCCTCGTCGTCCGACCCGTCGAACGGGTTGGCTATGTATGGGGCGTCATTGCGCACACGGTGCTGCGTGTATACCGGCGGATTGAAGACCGAGAGCCGCTTTGAGCCCTGCTGCTGATTCTCGCGCTCCCGCCCTGCCATGGACTTGCTTGCATGAACCTGGTCCTCGGCAGGCACATTCGTTATGAAACGAGGAAAGGAGTTGTCCACACGCTGGTACTTGATCACAGGTGGATAATCCTCCTGGTTGCTGCAAAAACAGAAAATCACCCCGTTATCAAATAAATTTTTAACAAGTCAAAGGAGCTTACCGTCTCTTCTGGGCTGTATTACTTCCCTCCGCCTGGTGGTCGCCACAACGACCAGCTCCGTTTTGAATTTCCGTTCCCTGGCCCGACTCTCCGGTGTCCGGAGCTCCCTCTTTGGACTTATTCCAACCGGTTAATAGCTCTCGGACCCTCCTTAATATTTCAAAGCCCATTGAAATTTCGTAAGTATTTATCAGCTCTTCGGCTTCCTTCTCTGCCTCAACACCGAACGGTTTCGATTTCTGAGTGTCCTTGAGGACCTTGACGATATCCCCGAGCAGGGCGATGTTCTCTTCGGTGATGGTTCCTTCAACAGAGTCGTCTATCAGAATGTGGCAGATATAAGCCAACTTCCGGCGCATAAGATGAAGGGCTCCGTCCGCGATGTTTAAATTAGGATTGGCTGGTTCCGATTTCTGAATATTGCGGACTTGATCGATGTAAGCGAAAAATTTACTGTCTCCTGCTGCCTGTTGCTGCTGACCGTGACTCGGTCCAGCTAGGTTTGGTTGTTCATTGGTAGTCTCCGCCCCTGTAACCCCAGTTACAATATTTGAGATGTTCCCCACGAAGCTGGAATCTATTTGGTGGTCGTTCTTTTGAAACGATGTTACAAGGCGGCTAATCTCAGATGCAAATTGGAATTTGTCTTTCTGCAGAATCTTGGTAGCAACCTGATTTTCCTTTGGCTCAACCTCTTCTGAAATGTTGGGATTGGGATCCTGATTCTCAGATACGATCTGCTCGCCTTTCTGTTGGCCTTGATCCTGAATCTGTGTTTCGACTTGATCTTCGCTCAGCAAGATCTGACGTTCAAAACTCTTGCTCTCCTGCTGGCTTTGTGAGCCAAGTTTTTCTTTTTCCTGTTGCTGGGCTAGAATCTCTTCGATCTGGTCTTTTTTCTGCAAGATCTGGCGTCCAAAACTCTTGCCTTCCTGCTGGCTACTTGATGCAAGCACTTTTTCAAATGCCAATAGTATTTTTTCCTTGCTCTGGATCTTAGCAGCACTCTGTTTTTCCTTTGTCTGAGCCTCTTCTGAAATTTTGGGATTGGGATCCTGATTCTCAGACACGATCTGCTCGCCTTTCTGTTGGCTTTGATCCTGTGTTAAGTTCTGAAGTTTTTCCTGTAAGATGAGGTTTTGCGTTACAAGCGGCTCTTCTTCCCGTTTAATTTTTTCCTGTTGATCCTTAATCTTTTTTACGACCCGGTCTTTGTTCTGCAAAATCTGGCGTTCAAAAATTTTCCCTCCCTGCTGGCTTTGTGATGCAAGCTCTTCTTTTTGAAATGCAAATTGTATTTTGTCTTTCTGCTGGATATTAGCAGGAACCCGATTTTCCTTTTGCTCAAGCTCTTCTGAAATCTTTTTCTTTCTTTCTTTTTCCAGGTCTTCAATCTTCTGATCGACCTCTCGCGTAATCCGATCCGCAGCCTTACGCTTTATCAGAGTCTGAATTGCCACCTGCAAACGGGAGGCTTCCTTCTTAAACGCAGACTTTAGCTTTTCCCTCCTCTTCCGCTGCTTCTCCAGCTGCAACTTAGCCTCACGCTTTTTACGCCTCTTTCGATGCTTCTCCAGCTGGAACTGTAAAACAACGTCCTCTTCCTGCAAGCTCTGGGGTGCAATCTTCTCGTCTCCCTGCAGGATTTGTGATGGATATTTTTCTGCTTTCCGCTTGATTTCGTTTTCCTGCCGGATCGGGGCTGTAATCCTTTCGTTTGGCGGCCGGATGCCACGCACAGAATCACATATAGGCCCGAACTGACGGGGGGGACTGGACACACCCGCAGGAGCGAATGGAGGTCCTTTCGAGTTCGCTGTCGCTGTGGGTGCGTTATGGGAACGCGGTTGCTCGAACCGGGATGTAGCAAGTGCGGCTTCTTTGTCCTTTTCTTGCCGTTTCCAAAACTTAGCCTTACGCTTTTCTTGCCTCTCTCGATGCGCTGTGGCTCCTGGCGTTGTGGGAGTGTTATGGGAACGCGGTTTCTGCTGTGATTCCGTCAACAAGGACGTCCAGCATTTGCGCTGTTCCGCGAAGAGTGGACTTGAGCTTGTACTTTTGGAATGGCGAGGATCCTCATCGGGCACCGCAGCGGCCCTGCCTTGTGTAATTGGACAAAGCTTTTCAAGTTCCTCTGCTTTCCGCTTGATTTCGTTTTCCTGCCCGATCGGGGCTGTAATCCTTTCGTTTGGCGGCCGGATGCCACGCACAGAATCACATATAGGCCCGAACTGACGGGGGGGACTGGACACACCCGCAGGAGCGAATGGAGGTCCTTTCGAGTTCGCTGTCGCTGTGGGTGCGTTATGGGAACGCGGTTGCTCGAACCGGGATGTAGCAAGTGCGGCTTCTTTGTCCTTTTCTTGCCGTTTCCAAAACTTAGCCTTACGCTTTTCTTGCCTCTCTCGATGCGCTGTGGCTCCTGGCGTTGTGGGAGTGTTATGGGAACGCGGTTTCTGCTGTGATTCCGTCAACAAGGACGTCCCGTATTTGCGCTGTTCCGCGAAGAGTGGACTTGAGCTTGTACTTTTGGAATGGCGAGGATCCTCATCGGGCACCGCAGCGGCCCTGCCTTGTGTAATTGGACAAAGCTTTTCAAGTTCCTCTGCTTTCCGCTTGATTTCGTTTTCCTGCCGGATCGGGGCTGTAATCCTTTCGTTTGGCGGCCGGATGCCACGCACAGAATCACATATAGGCCCGAACTGACGGGGGGGACTGGACACACCCGCAGGAGCGAATGGAGGTCCTTTCGAGTTCGCTGTCGCTGTGGGTGCGTTATGGGAACGCGGTTGCTCGAACCGGGATGTAGCAAGTGCGGCTTCTTTGTGCTTTTCTTGCAGTTTCCAAAACTTAGCCTTACGCTTTTCTTGCCTCTCTCGGTGCGCTGTGGCTCCTGGCGTTGTGGAAGTGTTATGGGAACGCGGTTTCTGCTGTGATTCCGTCAACAAGGACGTCCCGTATTTGCGCTGTTCCGCGAAGAGTGGACTTGAGCTTGTACTTTTGGAATGGCGAGGATCCTCATCGGGCACCGCAGCGGCCCTGCCTTGTGTAATTGGACAAAGCTTTTCAAGTTCCTCTGCTTTCCGCTTGATTTCGTTTTCCTGCCGGATCGGGGCTGTAATCCTTTCGTTTGGCGGCCGGATGCCACGCACAGAATCACATATAGGCCCGAACTGACGGGGGTGACTGGACACACCCGCAGGAGCGAATGGAGGTCCTTTCGAGTTCGCTGTCGCTGTGGGTGCGTTATGGGAACGCGGTTGCTCGAACCGGGATGTAGCAAGTGCGGCTTCTTTGTCCTTTTCTTGCCGTTTCCAAAACTTAGCCTTACGCTTTTCTTGCCTCTCTCGATGCGCTGTGGCTCCTGGCGTTGTGGGAGTGTTATGGGAACGCGGTTTCTGCTGTGATTCCGTCAACAAGGACTTCCCGTATTTGCGCTGTTCCGCGAAGAGTGGACTTGAGCTTGTACTTTTGGAATGGCGAGGATCCTCATCGGGCACCGCAGCGGCCCTGCCCCGTGTAATTGGAGCAAGCTTTTCAAGTTCCTCAAGTGATAAGATCTTGGAAAAGGATGGTTCTGCGGAGGTAGAGTTGTGCGCGCGCTTCTGACTCACTGGCTTGTTGTCAAATTCCGATGGCAATTCGGAATGGGCAAGTCGATCCTTTACAGACGACCCATTGATTCCACCGCGGGATTTGGGATTGGGTGCAGTTTCTGATTTGGCGGCTTCCTGTCGAGCCTGCCTCATGCGTCCGCACCTGGCGTATTCCGTAACTCTGAGCTGGAAAAGGATAGATATTGGAGTGCATTATTGTTTCCGAATTTCAGATTCGCTAGTAAAAAAAAAACAAAAATTGCAGCCGGTGAAACGCAGCCGAAATTTTGCGCATTTTCTTTGCCGCCTTTTGTCCCTCGCCCCGCGCCACACCACCTTCCCCGCAAGGACCAAACACTCACCGCGTGGCCAGCCGGTAAACACTTTTCCGTTTGCAATGCCGGCGAGTGAAAAATTTGCAACGCGGCGCGAGGAAAATGGGGAAAAAGATGGAAATTTTCAGTTTTTTGGCGTGCTGCCGCTAGAGTGACCGTGCCATGGACTGCGGAAATATACCAATCTTATTTGTTAAAATATACCAGAACATACCACTCAGAAATGTTAGGGTGTTCCCTGTGAGAGGTGGGAGTCCCCGCTAAGTCAGGTGTGAGTCCCCTCTATATCAGATGTATTTAAATTTAACAAGAAAAAACGCAAAAAAGGAGCCGATTTTCAAATGAATATATCTCCATCTCTCTCGCTAATTAATAATTATTAATAATTATTGTTTGGTTATAACTTTTTTATGATTAGACCGATATTAATAATTTTTGGCAAGTGGATGAGTAAAGATAATTAGAACAAAACCTCATTTAAATGTTTACAAAATAATTTAAAATGTGGGCGGTTTCCTTCTACCTGTTATATACTTTCCGACGGACCTAGTATACCCATTTACTTTACGAGTCACGCTTTATTTTCTCAGAAATTATTTAAAATCTTTGTTTTATTGCTGTGGCAACTTACTTGATTCATTTTTCACGCGCACTCGGATCGAGCAGTAAAACTAAACTGAATCGTCACACAAAGGAGTCTCAAATGTTGAATTGATTTTGTTTTTGTTTAGTTAGTAAAAATTATTTTTAAAATTTACAAAATGATAAAAATTCATGAATACAAATTGAGGTGTTGCCCGCACGACCTCTCGAAGTAAACTGACTAGTCAGACGAAAATCAATGTTATGTTTGAATGACAGGATCAAAAAGAAAATGCAAGGCCTTCATGATCCTTTTTTTTACAAAGTCTGGGTCATAGTTTATATCTTTATTTATTAATATCACTGCACAAACACAACAACAACGTCAACAACAGCAACCCACATACACACACGCACAAACAAACCTAGCGAGTTCTTCAGATCCAGCAACTCCTGCTCGATCCCTGCTTTGGCAGCAGGTTAAACAACTCCTGCTCAATCCCTGCCTTGGCAGCAGAAGAAGAGGAAGTTCCAGAGCAGCGAGGTGGCACCGTAAAGAGCGCCGGCGAGTCCCACGGTGGCCTGGAAGGAGTACCGCTCCACCACCCAGTGGGCCAGGGCGCCCCACAAGAGTACCAGCAGGCCGTTGGTGAAGTGCACCGGTCGCCGGATGGCCGTCCAGTTGGCCCGCGTCATGCCCATCTGGAAGACGAGCTCCTGCAGGAAGGCGGTGACCACCTGGCCAAAGCCGAGCAGCACCGCGGACACGCTGAGCAGCAGCTTCGAGGTGGAGAAGCTGATGACTGGGTGGGGCAACGAAGGTTATTCGGGGCAGGTACATACACAGTTGGTCTCGCATGGAGCAGGACTTACAGATCAGGGCCAGGCACTTGCAGAGGCTGCCCAGCGTGTGCCACTGGATCTTGCGCTTGTACAGGCTGGTCCCGAAGCGCGGCGTCATCAGGGAGAAGCACATCCAGGGGAAGGCCAGCAGGGAGAAGAGGAACGGGATCTCGGCGTTCTTCAGCGCGTGGTGGCTGACCGCCAGGCCCGGCAGCACCGTCAGGCACATCACGTAGCTGAATATGTCCGCGGAGAGGAGCAGCGTGGTGGCGTACAGCTGCGGCACCAGCAGCGCCTGCTGCAGCGGCATGGCGATCTTGTCCAGCAGGTTCCACCACAAATGCGAGGTCACCGCCCGCGACATTCGGCGAATGCGGCGCTGCAAGGACCACGAAACAAATTGATTAGATAGGGTAGTAATTCTCTAATAGTTTACATTCAAATCTACCTTTTAAAGGAGGGTCAAAATTTTAACCCATTTTCATGATCAGTTTTTACACAATTCTAATGGGCTTCAGAACGGGAACCCAAAACTGCACTTCTAAAATCCATAACTTGAGTTATTGGATTCCGATTTTCAATTGGGGTATCTCTATGAAATCGTGATTGAATTTTCTAATATTCTACATTAAACCCTTACTTTTTAACGAGGGTCAAAATTTTAACCCATTTTCATGTTAGATTTTTCCGTATTTCCAATGGCTTTCAGAACGGGAGCCCAAAACTGCACTTCAACAATCCATAACTTAAGTTATATGGTACCTATTTTCAAGTGGGATACCTCTATGAATTTGTGGTTGAATTCTCTTATATTCTACATTAAAATCTTACTTTTTAACGAGGGTCAAAATTTTAACCCATTTTCATATCTGATTTTTTCCTAATTCCAATGGCTTTCAGAACGGGAACCCAAAACTGCACTTCTAAATTCCATATCTTGAGTTATTGGATTTCGATTTTCAAGTGGGATACCTCTATGAATTTGTGGTTGAATTCTCTTATATTCTACATTAAAATCTTACTTTTTAACGAGGGTTAAAATTTTAACCCATTTTCATATCTGATTTTTTCCTAATTCCAATGGCTTTCAGAACGGGAACCCAAAACTGCGCTTCTACAATCCATAACTTGAGTTATATGATACCTATTTTCAAGTGGGATACCTCTATGAATTTGTGATTGAATTCTCTTATATTCTACATTAACATCTTACTTTTTAACGAGGGTCAAAATTTGAGCCCATTTTCATATCTGATTTTTTCGTAATTCCAATGGGTTTCAGAACGGGAACCCAAAACTGCACTTCTAAATTCCATATCTTGAGTTATTGGATTCCGATTTTAAAGTGGGATACCTCTATGAATTCGTTATTGAATTTTTTAATATTCTACATTAAAACCTTACTTTTTAACGAGGGTCAAAATTTTAACCCATTTTCATGTTAGATTTTTCCGTATTTCCAATGGCTTTCAGAACGGGAACCCAAAACTGCACTTCTAAATTCCATATCTTGAGTTTTTAGATTCCGATTTTCAAGTGGGATACCTCTATGAATTTGTGATTGAACTCTCTAATATTCTACATTAAAATCTTTCTTCTAAACGAGGTTCGAAATTGTAACTCATTTTCATGTTGATTTTGAACTCCTCTAATCCATAACTTGAGTTTTGGAATCCCAATTTAAAAGTGGGAAACCTCCAAAAATTCGTGTTTGAATTCTCTGATATTCTACACTAAAATCTCTTAAGCTAGGGTCTATGAGGTCTTACCAGATTGGCGTAGTCGGGTGGCAGGGGTGAGGAGCTGCCGGTGCCTGTGCCAGTTCCGGTTCCCAATCCCATTCCCAAGGGAAGTTGGGGCGTCAGGGGATAAAGTCGTCCATTCGAGAGCGACTTATGCGAGGTGGACATGGCGTAGTTGTCGATGGTCGCATTGCTCGACCGCATCATGGACACCGTCTCGTCCTCCTCGGGTATGATCTCCATGATCTCCACCCCATTGGGATTCACGTAGGTGACGTAGGCCTCGTCGGTGGCCAGCATGTAGTTGCTGTGGGTGTCCACCACGGCGGCGGCGACGACGGCACTCGGAGTGGTGGCCGCCATGTCGACGGTGGTGGCTGGATTCCGCCACGACAGGGTGTCCAAGCCGTCCAGTTGGTCGGCCACCAAATTGGCGGCCAGTGCCGCCCGCAGCGGAAGTGCCGCGAATCCCGTCTCCGCCTTGATCACCGATATCCGCTTTGTGGTGAAGGCGTCCTCGCGGTGCTTCGTGATGATCAGGCTGAGCGGGATGAGGTTCACCAGCAGGGCGGACATCAGCACGATCGACTGGGCGGTCCCGTAGAGCGTGCGCAGGCTGGTGAAGACGAACGAGAGGAACAGCTGGCAGAAGGCCTCGCCGCACAGGTGGATCGTCTTCCGCACGTACTTGTCCTCCCGCGGACGCACTGCCTCCAGGATCACGTGCGTCTTCCATAGGTAGAGACTGGAGCCGATGCCTAGGGGAAACGGATTTATACAGTATTAGTTTGGGGTTGTCCTTCAGCTAGGTTCTCCAGATCACTTTTGGAGCTGTCCAAAAGTATGCCGTATAGAAAGTTGTCTGTAAATGTTAACGAAAAACATATTTTTTCTTGCTTGGATGCTATAGACATAGCATAATATACGTCTATAATAGATTATAATTTGTTTTGAGTTCTTAATGTATTATTAATATTTATAATTCCACGTTACTTAAAGAAAATTGTTTAATAATGGAATCTCTGCACTATCATACAACTCTAAACACTAGAATGCGTATACGTGATATATTGCGTATACGAGAAGTAGGCTGTGCCAAAAATGCAGCAACACATATGATATATCAGCTATGAGATGTGCTTTTAAGTGCTTTCTCTTAAGTAGGTATTTAAAGCAATGACAGAGATAAAAGGCAACTTTACGAATTACAAGACTCTTTCGGTAGCTTCGCGCCCTTTTTCTCTTTTATAGATATTATATTATATTGTCCGAGATTTATACCCACCAGCAAAGCAGCCGTAGAAGACTATGGCCACCACCTGCGTGGTGGTGGTGACCACGATCCAGGCGGAGGAGAAGAGTATCCCGCTGACCATCAGGGAAACGCAGGCGATGAGCGTGGCCAGCAGGAAGACCCTCCTGTACTGGGTCGTCTCCCGCGACCTGCCGCTGTACTCTGTGTCCAGGTGCTCCATTATGGATCGGCACAGCTCTCCGGTGGCCTGGTAGACGATCGCCGGCCAGATCCTCAGCACCAGATCCTTATCGGACTCCACCACATTGCCGTACAGATAGGCGGGGGTGGCCAGGAAAGCCTAAGAAGGTCTCTCAGAAATAATATCATATCTTATATTAATATATATATTATCGTTTTACGTGTATGGCAAATCCGCAGAGCATGTACTTCTGTTGGATGTGCTTCTTGACCACCCGTCGTCTTTGGATTCCAGCGGTGGCTCTGGCGGTTGGTCGACGCACTGGACCCGGGGCAGCCACGCCCACGGGCACACCAACGCCCATCGCTGAGGTTGCCATATATGTATATCGCTAATCTATATGTCAGACGATCTCTGGCTCTTGGGAATACTGGATTTTACAAGAGAGCGCCTGGAGCTAGTTGATCCGTATCCGTAGTTCGCTGGGCACTTGGAATTTTTGTGTGCGCTCCGTCTAGCCGCTGGCATTCATCATTCCATCACCAAACCCCGAAAACCAAAACCAAAACCAAAGCCGTTTAGATAATGAAGCGAAAACACACATATGGAGACGGAGACCCCGGAGAATCGGAGAACCGGAGAGGCAGGCTGATAACATCGGGGCTCTTATCACGATATACCAGATATATATCTATACATATATATATGCCAGAGATATCTGTGTCCACACACTGCACAAGTGTATCTGGTGCGCAGCTGCGTATCTTTGTATCTGTGTATCCGTGAGATTAACGTCAGATATGTAAAGGCAAAACCTGCAATTCAGTCAGCGGCGGATTATGTTTATGGCCACCAGCCGGGGCAGGTAAATGGTATAGATGGCTGGCCAGATCCGTGGACACCTGGTGGAACGGGGTCACCAAATTTATGAACGATGGCCTTTGATTTCGCCAAAAATCGGAATTTAAAAATTTCTTTTCACTTCACATTTGGTCAAAGGATTGCTAATCATTGATAAAGTATAAGATATATAATATTTAGTTCCCTTAGAGTGACTCATTTGGTGACCTTTAGTCAAGTAATGAACGCAAAACTTTTCGTTAGCCTGCAAGAAGGTGAGCCAAAACAGCCCTATTAGAATCCTAATTTATTTCAAATGGTGATCCCAAACGACAGTTTTATAGATTATAGCAAGACCAATTGGATTCCCAATTAAAGAGCTATATTTCTTTGAGTCTGATTAATTTTATTACAACAAAGTGGGCTTTGATAGAAAACGTTGTATTCAAACCGTATGCAACGAAAATTTTATTTTGGAAACCCCCTCCTCCGATTCGGGATACACCAATTCATTTGAATTTTGATTTCTTGTTGATTGCGTTTTTTATTGGTATCCCTTTTCCAATGGTGGAACTTAGTGGCTAAGATACGGATAGGACAGTAAATAAACCACTTTCGTACTTTTTATGTAAGTTAATTCTTACAAAATGGTGACTCATGCCAAAAATAGCTAAATTAAACATATAACGATAGCGACGAGCAATTATAAAGATAAGGTGTTTCATTAATATTCATAAACATAAACTTAACTTCCTTGAAATTTAGTAATCATATTATCCCTAACTTAGTTTTTCATTTGTATAAAAAAAACTTGAAATCAAATTTCTGCTATTAAAATAAAACTTTTCATAAGAACTTCTTATTTTACTTTTCTCATTTTGATTAACGTAAAATATTGCCTTAAATTATTCAGAAACCCGTTGAGTTGCGCAGTAAAGTGAAGATCGAATGTCACCTGTTTCAAGTGTGGGATGCGTCACAATCTTTGTTGTGGGTCTCTGTCTCCGGAGTCCGGACCCTCTGGTAAGATTGGGTGCAAAAACAGTAGCGTGGAAAGAAAAACACCGGACAAACAAATTTATCTGACCTCCCCGTAGATTTACCCATCCGACTTATCTTTACACACTTCCGTTTCACATCCCATGCTGTACATAACTATATATATAGCAACTTTAGGGGTTTACAACTGTATTTTGCAACCAAAAATAAAAAAGCAGCCCTCGAGCGACGTCAGAACGGGGCAAAAACAGGCAGATATTTTATTTGCATCATATACGAAACGTCTATCTATCAGATAGAGATACCAAAGTTGAGGAGGTGCTAAGCCCGATAAGGCGGCCCAGCATCCCGGCTAGATCGGGCTATATAATCGGGGGCGTTCTCGGCCAGCAGCTCACACAACGATCGACCGACGTTAGCCACTGGCGACGATGACAACGACCACGAGTACACTTCGAGAAACCACAAGCACCACCACAACCACCTTCACTGTGCGAAAGATGACGGGCCGACGAATCTCAAAGCTGTCCAGCATCCTGCTGCTCTGCGCCGCCTTGGTAAGTTTCAGCCGGAAGGGGAGACAAGTCGAGGATTAGGTCGATACCTGACCATTTGCTAACTTACAGCTGCTGACCAAGTCCTGCGGCATTCTGGCCCTCAGCGGGGAGGCCGCCTCCAAGACCCAGGATGTGGGTCAGGGTCAGGCGGAGCCCTGGAGCGACACCACCACCACCATTCAGCCAAGTGAGGATGGCAGCGGATCCGGCTCAGGCGACTGGCAATTGACCACGGAGGAGGAAACCACTGGCTCCGGGAACGAGGAAACCACTGTTCCGGATGAGGAGACCACCGTATCCGATGAGGAGACCACAAGTTCCGATCAGGAGAGCTCCACGGGTGCCCCTGGCGATGGGGAGACCACCACATCTGCTGCGGAAACCTCACCACCAGCTGGACAGGTGAGCTCTTCCCCGGCTCCTGACAGCTCAGCTGCTCCCGAGGAGACCTCTCCCGCTCCCGAGGACACTTCATCCGCTCCCGCAGAGACTTCATCCGCTCCCGAGGAGACTTCATCCGCTCCCGAGGAGACTTCACCCGCTCCCGAGGAGACCTCACCCGCTCCCGTGGAGACTTCATCCGCTCCCGAGGAACTAACCACCCTTGAACCAGGAAGCTCTAGTTCCTCCACCCCGGCAGACCCCACCATTGCACCCACCCCGCCCACTTTCAAGTGCCTGGCGGCTGGACTGTTTCCCCACATCGGTGGCGACTGCAGACGCTACCACAACTGCCTGCTCAACCCCGTGCTGCTGCAGCTCCAGGAGATCGAGCTGATCTGCCCGGAACCGACCGTCTTCTCGCCCAGCTTGAGCAGATGTGTGAGAGATCTGGCGGAGTGCTTGGCGGAAGACTTCCTGTGCCCCTCCGTAGGCCGTTTCGCGGGACACGATGACTCCTATTACTACAACTGTGTGGCCAACCTGCAGGGTGGTTTCCACAAGTTCATCGTGCGCTGCTCCAGTGGCCAGAGATTCCAGCCCTTGGTCGGGGGATGCTGGCGCTACGACTGGACGCAGATTGTGCCCGGCCAAGAGGCCACGGAGGTCAGCGATCTGGCGGCCATCAAGCGGGAACTGAAGCTCTACAAGGCCGAGGCCAAACAGAAGCTGAAGGCCAAGAAGGAGCAGGAGAAGCAGGCCAAGAAGCAGCAGAAGCTGGAGGAGAAGGCCGCCAAGAAGGCGGCCAAGGAGCAGGCCAAGCAGCAGGCGAAGGCCGAGAAGGAGAAGGAGAAACAGCAGGCCAAGGGAGAGTCCATCGAGAGCGCCGAGTCCGCGGAGTAACCAGCTCCAAGCTTCCAGCTAGTCTTCTCCAGTTAAAGATTAACCCATCCATCTATGTTGGTCCATTGCTCTAGTCTAGTAAAATTATCTTTCCTTTTTTTTTTGTTTTGTTTTGTGCACGTGGTGTAAATAAAGATTTAAAAAGAAATAACGGAATTTATTTTTTGGGACTGTATACAAAAATTTGTAAATCATCCTATTTGATACTGTTTTTTCTAATTATAAAAAATTATCAAAAATGTAGTTGAATTTCAATACAACAATACAATTATATTTTGCAGTTTTTCAATCGTAACTTGGTAAAAACGAGGCGCACAGCTGAACGACCGACTGTCTCGAGCAGCTAACAACCTGGGCTAACGATTTCCATCACTTTTGGAAAAATTTATTTTTTGAGCAATTTTCGCATTTTTCATAAGGGGTTACATCATCTATTTTTTGCGAAAATGGGTCAAAAATTAAAGTTTCCAGGTTTCAATGTCAATCGATTGGAAATTAAATTACGAGCTCAACGAGGTATGGCATTCCTTATTCCGGCTTAAATTCGCAAAATGATTGCCAAAACACCTATTTTTTTGGTTGGAAAATAGGTAGTAGGATTTCAGACAAAAACACCCTTATTTTTGTCGGTTTTTCAATCGTAACTTTGTAAAAACGAGGCACACAGCCGAAAGACCAAATGTCTTGAACAGCTAACAACCTGGGCTAACAATTTCCATCACTTTTGGAAAAATTTATTTTTTGAGCAATTTTCGCATTTTTCATAAGGGGTTACATCATCTATTTTTGCGAAAATTGGCCAAAAATTAAAGTTTCCAGGTTTCAATGCCAATCGATTGGAAATTAAATTACAAGCTCAACGAGGTATGGCATTCCATATTCGGACTTTAATTCGCAAAATTATTGCCAAAATACCTTGGTTTTTTGGGTCGGAAAAAGGGTTGTAGGATGTCAGACAAAAATAGCCCTATTTTTTGAGGTGTTTCAATCGTAAAAATAAAGTTTCCTGGTTATAATGCCAATCGATTGAAAATTTAATTACGAGCTCAACAAGGTATGACGTTTCTTTCTCCGACTTTATTTCGCAAAATTTTTGCCAAAATACACCATTTTTTGGTCGAAAAGTGTATAGGAGGATTTTAGACAAAAATACCCCTATTTTTTGAGGTTTTTCAATCGAAACTTGATCAAAACGAGGTGCTCAGCTGAAAGACAGACTGTTTTAAGCAGCTCACAATCTTTTTTTGGGAAAATTGGTCAAAAATTAAAGCTTGCATGTTTGTAAGGGTTAGCTTATTAAATAAATATTATTGACGGCATGTGAACAGGTGTGAGCTCTTTTTAAAGAGAAAGGTTAGTCTTGATAAGCCTTTCAGTCGTTTGTTTCTATCTTAAGCCCTAAGCTACTAGATACTATTCCAGATGACTTTACCTGTACTAAGTAAATTAATTGCTTTGTTTTTCCGGAGCTAAATAGAGAGAAAAAAGTAAATATGTTTTAAAATCGGGTTTTTTTTTAGTTCTAATAACGAGGTTAGTAAAGGAACTATTGCATTCAATGCCAGTCATTAAATATATGTAACTACATTTAACATATAGGTATTTATATAAATTCGCATACGTACAGTAAGTCTTATCGGCGGAAGTTTGGTGTTGATATGTCAATGTTTGGGAAGCTTCTTGATGTATTGAATGTGTTTGAGTGCAATAATGTTTTTTGTGAATGATATAAACGTACTTAAAAAAAAGTAGAATACATTGCAAATGATAAGAAATACATCTTTAAAATCCATCTTAATTTCAAAACATATTTTGACAGACTTAATATGGGCACTTAATGTCCTGAAATGGGAATTTCCACTACAAAGAGATACGTTTCTTCGAGGGCGTATCATATAAATTATATTGATCCCCTATCTGAAGCTTAGTCACACCGCCAGACTTTTTGGCCACTATTATCGTTGGAAGGTATCGTATGGTTACCCACTCACGCACCAGGTCCGAATTTTGTTTTTATCAGCTAATCGCTGGGCAATCTGGAAGATTGTCACCGTCACCTTCTGGGCCTTTTGCCTATAAAAGAGCCAGTTCGATTGTCTGGCCAGTTAGTCCGTCGAGCCAAGTACCCAAAACCGAATCCCGAAAACGAAAACGAGGATAACACCCCCCCACGAGATGTTCAAGCCATCGATGCTACTGGGTCTGGCCCTCATCCTGACTCCAGGATCCCTGATCCAAGCCAAGTCCCTGTGCCGCCAGAGCGGCTACTTCGCCTTAGTGGATAACACGGCGGACTTCTACGCCTGCCAGGCCACTGGTGTCGCCGGTGACTTCTCCGTGCGCTTCCTGCGCTGTCCTGCCGGTCTGGTCTTCAGCTCCTCGGTGGCCCAGTGCGTGCAGTCGATCGCCGCGTTCGAGGCTCGCGAGGATAGCAACATCGAGAACCCCACCATTCCGCCCGAAACTGTGGATGCGAGCACCACGGTCGCCACAATAGCCGCTAGTGATGCTCCGTCAACCACTGAGAAGCCAGCGACAGAGGCTACGGAAACCACTGAAAAACCAGCCACCGAAGCTCCAGAAACCACAACCGGATCCGACGAGCTTACAACCGACGAGCTGGCAACTAAGGAGCCGGTAACTGATGAGCCGGTAACCGATGAGCCTGTTAACAATAAGCCCGCTACCGATGAGCCTGTAACCGATGAGCCGGTAACCGATAAGCCCGTAACCGATGAGCCCGTAACCGATGAGCCCGTGACCGATAAGCCGGCGACCGATGAGCCCGTAACCGATGAGCCCATTACCAAAACCACCGATGCCGGCGACGTGACGAAGACCACCAGCGGTGATGTCTCGGTGACCACTGCCGAGGACAATGTATGCGCCACCACCGGGTTCTTCCCGACGGACGGAAGCTGCACGGACTTCGTCATCTGCAGCTACGGCAACGGCACCGAGCTGAAGCCCTACGTCCGCAAGTGTCCCACTGATATGCAGTTCGATCCCTTAGGGTGCGTGTGCTCCAAGCACTACGATTGCACCAAGGCCTAAAAGGAGGAAGAAGGACGCTATTCGAGGATTGGGTGGCTGAAAACGACGAGAAGCAATAAAATCAGCCATTTAACAAAGCTGTAGTTTTTATTTACTTTATAGCAGAATTTTTTTGTTTTTCTAATGTCATTTTTTTTTTTTGTAAAGTGAATAAATTATACTTTAATTATTATTAATTTATTGGCAATCATATCTGGCATCTTGATGGGTTGTCAAGTGGTTCCCTATGACGGCAATTTTAATTTCAATTCCATTCGCATTATCCGTCAAGGCGATAAGAAGGAAATCCATTAGGGTGCTCCTATCTTATCGAATGTCATTATGGAATCGCTTGGTCAGTTCTCGAGTGACAAATTAGCCGCGAAAAGCTGTCGCCAAATTAATTTCCTGATCATAAATTGGACTACTGAACTGGAAATCAAAACAGAACTTTTATTAAAGATGATTTCTAATCTTCTTGGAAGATATTTTCTACTTTCGTTCATCTTCTACTGAAGCATTTTATTTTGTCTGGCGCCTAATTATTTACAGCAGGGTCTTTACGTTGAGTTCCTGGAAATGCTTTTATCTTTTCTGAAATTAAGTTAAGTAATTATTATTTTAGTAATTAAATAAATAAAAATTCTACAGACCAGTACAAATCGAACCGAATTTATGAAATGCCTTTGACATTTCCGGGAATATTATCCCATCTCCGTTTTAGTGATTGATTGGTATTTATTTATTGATTGTTGGTATTTCTGTCAAATTGTTATTAAAGCATATTATTATTATCATTTTTGTTCTTTTCACCTATGATTTTTGTTACTTGCTTTTAACTGCTATTTAATGAAAATTATAAGGTCGTAAGTGGCGGTAAAAAATATAGTTAGAAAAAAACGTAGATAGGACTTTTTAATCAGCAAAGATTTCCTCGAATTTTATCTAATCGTTGTCAAATGAATATAAATAATTACTAGTTATTTATTTTATGATTTGATTTATTAAAGACTTCTTCGCAGTTGATACGTAAACAACTTGAGTAAGTATTTCTAAGAAATAATACTATTGTAATTAAATCTCTTTATTACTATATAATTTATTCGTCTTTATATTTTGACTAATATCCTAAAGGACATTTCATTGATGTTTTAATATTTCTTTCATTATTCTCCAAAGGAAGCTATTTTTCTTATATATACACTCGTATATTAGCCTTATACTGGCCGTGAAACCTGCATTCAATCACGTGTCGTTGTACTCACAGCGATAATGAATGAAAATTCCCGAGTTATCTTGGTGGTTCCGTGTCTTTTGGTCAGTGGGGTTTGTTGAGTGGGTGGTAAATGGATGGAAGGTGGATGGATGGCCAATAAACTTCCGCATGGTGGAGCACGGGTCAATCTGATGACATGGTTGTGGGTTAGTGGGGGATGGATGATAGTTGGGGATCTGCAATGAATGCGATAAACGGCCAACGGGCGGGTAACCCGATGGATTCCCAAATGAGTGAAAGTCTCTCACCATCGGGCGCCATCGCAATGGCAATGAGGCTCGGTCCGCTGCCCGAGAAGTTGCATAAAACCGCGGAAAGACTCGACTCTCCGAGCATCGGCGACACCGCTTGGTTGGACAATTGCGCATGCGCGTAGCTCGTTAAAATGCCTTTTTTTTTCCATCGGCGGCGACAATTAAAGCAGGCCAAAAACTCTTGCCAAAATCCGCCGCTCTTCGGCAGTGGCAAGTAGTCCGGGCACGTACATCCTCATAAAAACCTGGATACGTGCATAGTGCCATTTGGCACACAAGTGTTTGCCATTTGGCCCTAAACGGTCGTAGGCAAATGGCTAGTAAACTTACTTTGCAAACAGGGAAAGAAAACTCAGCTTCTGAAAAGAACAAGCCCTTTAATATAAAAAAAAGATACAAAATCTTCTTAAAGACCTTTAGCCCTGAATCCTTTAGCACAATATTAGAAAATTTGCACCAATTAAAAAAAGGTAAAAGAAATTTATAGGAAAGTATATTTAAGGAATTTATAACATTCAAATGAACTTCCATTCGAAGAAGATCTAGTTCTTCAAAATGAATATAATTTTTTTTCGGTGCAGTATAATCTTTGCTGCCTCTAATCATTTGCCGCTTGCTCAATGTTTTAGATTGTTTTGAACACTTGACTTGGGAATAGTCAACTGCAGATATTGACTTACTGCACTTTTACTTTTTCGCAGTGTACGGTGATAGGAGTTTTGGGGTCACCCAATGTATCTTACCCATCCTGCATCTCGAACAGTGGATCGCTCTTGTTGACCACTTTCATTTGTGCAAACTGGGTGAACAATCGACGCACCGACGACAAACATTTGCGTGCGAACATTTTTGTTGTGTTTTACTTGTTTTTTTTTATTTTTGTGATTTTTCGTTGTGATTTGTTGGCTTTTGGGTGGGGACAGGCGTCACCCGTCTTTTGATGAATGGCCAGATACAATTGTATCTTTATTTGAGTGCTAGGCCAGACGCGTACTTGTTATGTCACTTGCACATTTACACGTTTTGTGTTTTTCTTATTTTTTTTTATTATTTCTTTTATCTCATTTTGGCCGAGTCGCTGCCAGTCAAGATCAACATTTAAATGTTGTACAATTATGCCAGCTGAGCCCATTAAGATTATATATGTGGCATCAGCAGCAGCAGCTTCCTAGTAAAAGCCAAGCATCAGTTGAGTAACTACTATGTATAAACGACGTAATCATGATTTGGAAATTAAGAAAATTGTCAACTCTTAAAACAAATGTGAGCGTTGTGGGCATTACGACCAATCCATCGATCTGCTAATGTCGCAAAACTCTCCCTAATTAAGGAAATCTTCATAAAGAAGGTACGATGAGTCTGCAGGTGCAGAAAGGGAATTGGCACACTTATGCGAGGCATTTGAATAAAAAAATTAAATTCGTATTGAATAAGGCAGTCCAAGTCACTAGAAAACCTTGCACCCTGACTCTTCTGTTTCAAAACGTAGCTTAAACCCTGGTTAACCTAAAAGGGTCACCAAATAAGCCCATTTTTAAACTAATTTTTCATAAGCAAACTCTTGACCATTTACATTTTTTTTTGGGGCACTATGTTTTAAGGTTTTTCACCTTTGGCGTTATTTTCAAAACCTTGAACCATTTTTTATATATATATTTTAATTAAGTAAACATGCTTGAAGCTGTAAGCTAATATCCCAAAGGGGATTACCGTCAAACTGTAGTTGATCTTATAAAAACATTAATGATCGGAATGCATCAACTTTTAGGTTAAACAAATCAATTATTTTTCAAATTATATCTTTAAAGATTTAAGAAATATGTATACAAAGTAAATAATATCTTTATAATAATCTTCAGATTTCTGAGCTATTATAATTTCGATTTCCGTTATTTTCTGACAGCCCATCAAAATATTTATCAACGAAGCCTAAAACTTAGGCAAGTCAAAAGAAAAATAAAAGATATTCATAGGCGGCTATCATAATACCAATCTATATTGTTATTATAATATATTGTATTGTCAACGGGGCCGAAAAGTTTAATTGGCAGTGTATTGCAAGCCGGGTTCCATTGGGCTCAGATCAGATGGGATGCGATGAGATGACCCTTGTGCCCGATTGGATGATCTGATCCGTGGAGCACGGCTATCAGTGGCTCCGCAGCTTCAGAAGATCACAGATTTTTGCAACATTTTGCATGTTGCCTTTGAGCGAACGCCGCTCACGTAGCGATCGCGTCACGATCGTCACTCTCACTCTTTCCCCTTAAGACTCTTTCTCGTACACTGACAAAAATAGGGTCTACTGAAAAAAAAAATTTGAATTTAAGATTATGTATTACATATTCGAAAGAGATTCAACCAAGAAAACATGAAAAAATTTAAAACATTTTAAGCAAGTTAGAAAATATAAGATACAACGTTGGCCATAATTACTTTAAATAGTATTTTAAATATATGAATGTTGATATTAAATATTTTAATAAAATACAACAACGTAAACATATTACTAATATACATGCATATTTTATTTAAAAATATTTTTATCAAGTCATAAAATATAAGGTACGATGTTGGTCATATTTACTTAAAAGAATATTTAATGTTTCAACGAAATATAATTTCATATCAAAATTTAAAGTAGCTAAGTTTATTTTTATCATGTTTACCATGTATAACAACTACAATGATAAAAAGCAAAGCGAAAATTATTTAAACTTTGTGTTAAATCCTTGGACTTACTACTTTTTATCAGTGTACTTTTCTCGTTTCTCAGCGGTACTCTCTCCCGCCGGTCGCCTTACCTGCCGCAATTTCCACGGGCAGCGCTCAGTTCGTGGGCGCCTGCGCGCATGTGCAGTCAGAGTTTTTTCACAGCTCCTCAGTGGTCGTTCGTCGTCGGTTTCTTTGGATCGAGATCCAGTCGGAGATATATTATACACAAATATAATATACGTTAATGTGTACAGCATCCCTGCGAATTCGGTGATAAAAGTGAAATTGCCAAGTGTCCAAGAAGCTGCCAAAAATCACAATCAAATTTTTTGTTTCGTTTTTTGTTCGAGTGCCGAGAGTGATTAGTTAAACAAATCTCAAGCGAAATTCACAGGAATTTCAGGTAGCCAGCGGAATTACCTGATCTCTCGTCGAGGATCAAGATCTATCGGCGGTGTGGGAGAGAGCCCGGTGATTCGTGTTCCCCCGAAATCATTTGTCAGAAATGGTAAGTGCAATCCAACGAAGTATCCAGAAAAGGCCAAGTAAACCGAGGAGAGTTACCAAGAACTCAATTTACTTGGGACCGCGAAGAATCGGGTTTACGAGCGCAGAAGGGGTCTGGGTCTCGCAGGTCAGGTTTTTTTAGCGAGGGAATCAGAGCGATTCTCGTTCCCCGGTGAGTGGTGACTTTTAGAATTTTTATGGCCACTTCGAAGATGGAGATTGTGCGATATTTTTGGGCCATACAATATCGTTATCACTTTCGATATGGGAGAAAGAAGACAATGGAAAGGGAAATCAGCCTAGATGGCAAATAGAAATTTCTGGGAAGGTCTATAAAGCCCCTGAAGTCTATTCGTATATTTATGAGAATTACTTTTTTCATTA